CCTGTAAATGGGACCACATTAGTAGCGTCTATATCTCCAGGGGTCTTAATGCCATCTCCAGGCACTTTTCACTGAATGCACAGAGCCATCCAATGTACCCGGAATGTACCCCGATCAAGAATGGAACTTATTCGCGAAAAAAGCTAGCTCTCTAGCAGCTGGCTTATGTTTGTCTTTACAATGTTGTCCTTGGGTCATCGAGACCTTTCGGACCAGCACCTATATATCGGGGACGTAAAAAAACCCGCTTTGCGCCCGCCCATCCTTGCCCATCAGTCGTCTGAGCGACAATTGCCACCTTTATACACTGCGGACCGTCAAGAGCTTATTTCGATGCGTCAACGCAACAGGAGGCTTCCAACTTGATACGCGCGAAATGCGTCGCCCGTGTGCGTCGTGCATTCTTGTTGTCCAAGCAAACCCGAGCAGAGTAAGAGATGGAGCAAACAATGGCTGTGGCACAGGCGGAGCCTAGTTGTCGCATGACATGCCCAGAAAGCGCTTAGATACCTGGGCTTTGGAGATCTCGAGCTCCAGATCTTGTCTTGCTCGGTTGGTGGGGGTTTCTAGAAATCCCATTTACCACCTTCCCGCTGTGGGTTGGCTTGGAGTTTTGGCCTGGTTTAGGGCGTAGGTTTTGGATTTAGGGTGTAGGGTTTAGGGATTGGGCATTAGGGTTTGTTTGGCCTTTAGGGCTTGGGTTTGCAGGGCTTATAGGGTTTGTAGGTTTTTTCAGGGCCTATGGACTGTTTAGCTGGTTTCAGGTTTAGGGTTTGTATAGTTTACGCAGTTTAGGTCTCAGGGTTACAGTCTAGGGTGTAGCTTTGGGCTGAAGGTTTATGTTAGCTCCCCCCCCCCCCCCTTAGCCCCCCCTTACCCCCCGCCCCCCCGCGCCTCATGAGTTATGGAGATCCCTGTCTCCAGGAGCTGATACTCAGCTACAAGGAGGAGGGCGAGGAGGCACGGTGTTGGGAAAAACAAATTTGGGCCCAAATCTCGCGTATCAGACCCCGGAGGCAATTTTTCGGATTGAGGGTCAAAGGGTGTCAGAGGATGTTAAAGGTGGGATGTCGCCCTAAACTTAAGCACCGCCCCACTTCCCTAAACCTTGATGCGGCTTCCATGCCATCTCCCTAGTTGCCCTCCCCCCCCCCCCGTGTTAACCAAGAAGTCCCCAGGTTTTCCGATTTTACATTCTCTTCCTGCTTGGTTTCATGAGCGGCCTGGCTTCCGGGCAGGGGTCTCGCTTCATGTGCCTCGGCTGGTTTCGGCTGTCCTTACAGCTGCATTTATCTTTAGCTCATGACTGTTGCACAGGAAGCAGCCGTTCTCACCAAAGTTCGAAGGGCTCGCAAAAGCTCCCTGGGGGTAGAGGGTTCAGCTTCCAGCTGAGGAACGCAACAAATGCGCCGGCGGTAATCTCTGGCATCCGGATGCTCCAGCATCTGCTGGATGCAACTGCTCGAGGCATTTATTGGGGCTTCATCGCAGCCCGCGTGCCCGACCTGCACTGCTGCCCGTGCGTGGTCTCCCCTTTTCTTTCTTTAGATGTGGTAGACGGCATGATTGCAGCTAGTGGTGTGAATGGCGAATTCTTTCCCAACCCATCGAGCTCAAGAGTGTGCGGTACGTGATCCACAGCAGTCCTGTCGGGTGTGAAGAGACTCGCGAAGTAGGTTGCGTGCAGACTCCTTGTCTCGATGCAAAGGCATCGGCGCTGCGGCTTCCCCAGCGTTCTGCCGAGGACTTCGTGCTGGTGCGCCTGGCGTGCCTGAGCCGAGTACAGGCTCGTTGCCCCTGCATCGGAGCATGCGGAGATGTGTTGAACGCACCATGTCTGGTAATATAAGCCCTGCCCCCCCCCCCCCCCCCCCCAAGGCCAGTTCCTGTTGCTAGGACGCCAAGGGCTACAAAGAGCTTCGCAGAGCCTGGGACAGCCTCGGTGCCTGGGCTTTCTGTGATGTCTCCATGTCTCGAGCTAGGTCGAATCAGGTGAGTTCAGGGGTGTCGGCCGGTGTAGGGTTATTTATGATGAAAGGGATGCCGCTTGAACAGCACAAAGCGTTTTTTGAAGGTTTCAGCTCGCAGTATGGTGGACCATCCAAAAAAGCCTCAGGCTCCAGAGAGCAGTCGTTCCTGGCGCAGCACTTTCTCAGCGACGGTCTGGAGGACTTTCGCCTCTCAGGGATGTGGGCGGTCACTGTGCATCTCATCGTGAACTAATGGAGCGCAGCACCTTGATAGCTGCGTAGCACTCCCTGCATGGCCACTGAGTGTGCAAGTGGTTGTCGCAGTGAGCAAATCCCTGTGCAGCTGGAGCACCTTGCAGTGCGGACCCTTGAACAACGCCTAATCCTGCACCCCAAGATCCCTAAGCCCGAAGCCCCTCAAGGCATCCCAAGGTCCCGACTCAAATCCGAGAAAGAAGTCCCTAAGAACACGGAGGAGCGGGCGCTGGTCCTGGAGTTCCTCCCCGCCTGTGTGGCCAACGCAAAGACCAACAGCCTGGCGGGGTGCTGATCTGTGGGCATTGAGGGCCGTCCAGGATGTTAGAGAGGGTGGAGGGCCCTAATTAAACCCTAAACCCTAAAACCTTAAACCCTAAACCCTAAACCTCCGGCACAAAGCAGCATGGGGGTTCCTGCCATGTTATGGTCCGCGGATGTCCGCGGGATTGCAAACCGGACTTCTATTGCTGGGTACTGCTCCCAATGAGTCTTGTCTCAGATACGCTCAACCACGGCTGGGGGTTTAGACTTCGCACAGCATGGCTTGGAGTCCCAATATGCTCTTACTTCTTCATCCGCAAACCCCAGGAAACCCTAAACCTTAAGACGCCAGCAGGCCCCCTACCAGCCATCAGTGTGTCTTCGGTAGCGCAGGTGGGCCTGACCATCCTCCTTGAGGCAAGGGGGGGGGGTCTGCAGTGTTTGGGTGGGGCGGTACTTGGGTTCACAGGGTTCCATGGTTTTGGGGTGTAGGGTTCGGCGTGTCATGCTTGGCCGTCATCTCGCCTGCAGCGGCCAAGTGGCAAGCCCATGCTGAGGTTCTCGTAGACCTGCTGAGCAACCTCTGGATGGCCGTGGAAAACATGGCAAATTTGAAAGGCGTACAGATGATTGCAGTTGATTTGTCCGAGGCATGTCTGGCATTCAAGTATAGGGCAGTGTTCTTAGACCAGGTCGAGGCGAGCTGTGATTTGTATGTGCGTCGTCCCCAGCGCGCGCTTCTTTCCGCACACCGCAAAAACCTGCAGACTGCAAGCCCTGATCCCCAGCATCTGTTACCGGGTAGTGGATCGGAACCCTGAACCCTGATCCCGTAAACTCCGAGACCCTGAAACCCTAAACCCTAAACCCTAAACCCTAAACCCGATGACCCGGGTTCGGCGAGCCCAGGACATGGGGGAGTTCATCGCCGCGGTTCAGAATCGGTTTGTCTTCCAAACCTGCGTGTCCAGGCGCCCTGGCCTCGAAGTAGGGTTTCTTGGTTTCGGGTCCAATATATAGAGTCTCTTGTGGTGGGCCATTTCTAGACGGAGTTGTATGGCAAGAATGACTATCTTCAGGGCCCTGAGCTAGAAGTGAGCATAGACGCGGAAGCCCCAAATGAGAATCAGCCTGTCAAGAGATGTTTGTTTGACCACCCGGTGTTGATGATAATATTTTGTTTTCCGAGGTGCAAGTTCCACTTCGTGGATGACAGGGTGCGTGTGGAGATGACAGGGGGAAATTGGGGCCGAACCAACGACCCTGACACCGACATGACCAGCTTGGCGTACATTGTCAAGGTGCGCGCAAATCCACACCAGAATCGCACATCCCTAAGCCCAAAAAGCCCTGGACAGCAAACGCCTCGGCCATTGCTTGTGGTGCAACCCATCTCTTAGGCTGGAGCCCACCGAAACCCCACACCACTAAGCCCTAAGCCCAGACATGAGAGGAGTGGCAGGCAGTTTAAGAGCAGCTCGGGTTTGATTCTTGTTTGTGTGACGGGTAACTTCTTACAACATTTTTCCTAGAAACCAAGACTTCCGGTACAAAGGGATCCCAGGATGGAAGCGGGGAGCTTAAGCCCTGGGTTTTGAGATTGTTTCGACTCGGTGCATGAAGCGACGACGGTGTGACCTTGGCCGATCCAGGACGTGCTCATGAAGCAGCAAGTGATGGAATCGTACATAATGCGAAATACCTGACGATTTTCCCCTGCTTTGGCAACACGCCACATTCGAACGGGAAGCATGATTGGGATGTTGTCCTGCCAGGATCCAACAGCAAACTTCATGAACAGGGTCGCCCAACAAGAGCAGGGAAGAGTATGGGTGCATGTGTGTGTGCTTCAGATAGTCGGAGTCAGGACAATGTCCTTCTCTACGTGCACAACCGCTGTTGTAAAATGTTTTTGAAATGTTGCAGATCTGAGCGCCAGCAGTCTGCTGCCATCCGCAAGCGCGATGGCTGAGGATGCAGCTTCTGTGATGTGACATGACGTGGTCGCTTTGAGCTTTGCCGCAGGGACTGCACTCCCTTTCCCACTATGTGCCAGATTCACTGTTACTCACATGTCAATAAAATAAAGCCATTCCTTAAATCCAAGTCTCGGGCGTAGCACCCAAAAGTGGGTCAGCAGTTAGCGTCGTTCCTCTCCTCAAACGAGGATGGAGGTAGAATTGACAAAGAAGCCAGGGAAGCTTCACGAGATTCCTGGGTAAATTTCGAAGGTCGCTGCGCACAAAAAGTCCTGTGCTCATGAAGGTTCTGCAGCCGCACACAACCCGGCTTCAAAGAAACAGCGAACCCCAAACCCCAAACCCCAAACCCCAAACCCCAAACCCCAAACACTAAACCCCAAACCCGAAACCCTCAACCCACAACCTCAAACGCGACCGGGCGTATCCCCACGTGATGTTGCTCATGTCGTGGCAGTCTCTTTGCAATCGTCTCCAAAAAATCGATTCGTGGCCCCTGCTGGACGATCTTCCAGCTGCAGCTCTTTGTGAGGCATCCTCCGACCTCGGCGATGTCGAGGGCTTTGCCGTCACAGACGAGAATCGTTTGGCCTTGACCTCAGCACAGCGTGTCAAACAGCTTTCGCACTGAAATGCTTATGCCCTGAAGCTCTGACAAGATAGCTGTGCCTATGTGCTCGGTATCTTGCTCTTGACTCTTGCTCCCAACACATCATACACCCGCCAATGCTACTGCCCTACAAAAACCAGAGCAATTTTTGTGTTTTTGGCACTCCTGCTTCTGCGGGGAAACTAGCTGGGAATCTGGTGTGCCAACAGGCAACAGGTGCTTCTCTCCAACGATGGTAGCAATTTCGGGCTTCTTTCAAACCCTGAGACCTAAAGCTTCACCAAGCCACCGACAAGTTGCAACGTAGAGGACTGGCCGGGAGAAGCGCAGCCTGAAGCAGTGCGACGAGTGGAGGACTGTGCTACGCGCAGCGTTGTCCCTCATCACCTCTCACCACGCTTCAAGCAGACAAGGACTTAGGTATGGGTTTAGAGTTCCTTTTCGTTTTTGTCGGGAGGTCAACAAGAAGACTCAACAAGGACAAGAACAACAGCAGCAGCAACAGCAGCAGCAGCAGCAGCGGATGATGGGATGCATGATCAAGGATATTAATTATGCAATATTCAAACATTCTAGGAGAAGCATCATAAGACTTTTCCGAATTACGATTTCATGTATCTTTTGATATTGGAAGATCTCTAGATAGATGATCGTCTATAAACTACTGCTACTGCTACTGCTACTGCTATGGCTACTGCTGCTAGGACGCGCATTTGTAAAAGGCTTGCCTTCTTCAGTGGACTGCCCCCAGAAACCCTAAACTCTCAAATCATCACAATTCTTTCCTGCTGCGTGCGAGTGCGAGAGTCGAAAGCCTCAAATGCCTGGCATGCTTCACCCTAAGGACGGTCACATTGAGCCCCCGTGAGCCCCCGAAACCATCAAAACCCGAAGCCGTAAGACCGAAGAACCGTAGCCATTTTGGCTCAAGCACCAGACTATCCTTCTTTCGGACACAAAGAACATCAAAAAAACAACAAGAACAATAACAACAATAACAACAATAACAGCAATAACAAAAATAGCATGAACAGTAAGAACAGTAAGAACAGTAAGAACAAGGAGAACAAGAACAACTATACCAATAGAACAAGAGCAATAACAGTAGCAAGAACAAGAACAATAATATCGAGCACAGTTATCTCAGCACGAACAATAACAAGAGCAAAAGCGGCAGCATCGTTCATGTCATCTCCATTGCTTGCATGAGTCTTAGTAAAACATGGTAATTGTACCAATAGTAATCAGAGCATTCACAGTACGCAAAGTAAGCATAGCAATCATAGTAATCATCCTATTCATGGTAGTCATAGTACTACCACTAAGAAGGGTGATAAGAAAGGTAATTTGCTTTCCCTGGCATGACCTACGAGAACCTGTGGCACCCCTCGCACAAAAGAAGCGTCAGGACTTGCGGCCGTTGTCAGCAAAGGCCTCTTTGGGGTAAGCAGAGGGGGCTAGTGGGCTGCAGGGGACGCAGGGGGGGGGGAACAGGGGGGGGGGCGAGAGGGAGCCGCGGGGTGCAAGGGGGGTGCAAGGTTTGTGTTGACATGGTGCTGGGGTTCAGGGGCTTAGGGTTCCGGATTCCTTCAGCTGGGGTGGAAGCTCTCTTTCCGTGGGCCGCGTACAACGACTAGAATAACCCAAGACCTCATCCTGGACCCTGGCCCTGATGCCCAAACCCCCAAAACAGGAATCTGCCTGAGACTGGTCGAGGTTTTGCCGCGGCACGGAGCCTTCCTGTCCTTGCTTCAAGGCCTGGCGCTGAAAAGTGCAAGAGTTCAGGGCTTTAGGGTTCTGTGCTTTTTCTGGCTTGGAAGGCAAATTATTCGAGTTGCTTATATGATTGTTCTTACGAACAGTACTGTGATCTCTTGATTACTATGACTACGGCAAGTACTGTGATTACTATGATTATAATGGGCACTATGATCATGATGATTGCTGCTAGTGCGATACATTCAGTGATTATTCTTGTTGTGATTATTATTACTACTATCATGATTATTAGTAATTATTATTAATTACTTTTAATTAGTAATTATTATTAGTTACTATTAATTATTATTATTATTCTTATTATTATTATCCGTATTCATACGATTGGTTCTTTGAAGATGGCATTTAGCTTCAAAGACCACTCTGCCCGGATCAATTCTTGTGAGGGCTTAGTCAGTGACCTGCTGGTATGCCTTGTCTAACTTGTCTGCTGGATAACTTGTGATCATTTGGCTGCTCCAGGTCTACTGCAGCCTGGCACTCATGATTTCGTGTTGAACGCTTGGCGAGTCCTGTAGCAGGTCGTCAAGACATGCGCTCTGCATGCAGACCGACCCGTTTCCCAAGGCTTGATCCGCAATGCAGGATGGATGCAGCGACCGGATGCAACGCCTCGTTCTTCCTGTCGGAGGTTCTGAGCCAGAAACATGCAAGGATCTCTGCAAATGGCTTGGCTTATTGGTGGTGCCTGTCATGCAGGTCATGGAGTGAGCCCGGGCGTCGGTGGTCTCGCGATGGCGCAAAAGGAAGAGGATCGTGTATGGGTTGGGTATGGCGACGCGAAATTCAAGATGCCAGCACTTGAAGCACCTGCTTTAAACTGTCGCTGTCCCAATTCTCGCACCAGACCTGCCTGAGTTGGCCAGTAAGTTACTTCAACGGTATTCCCTTAAGAAGGAGCAACCCACTGGACTCTCCTCGTACCCAGTAGCTGCTAGTAGTAGTATTAGAAGCCGCTGAGCACGCCCTCCGCATCCGCGATGGGTGCGCGGGCGGCACTTCGCCCTGCACTACTGCTGAGTGTATGTGTCGGGATCTGAGCTGTCTGTAGATATCTGTAGAACTGGTTGCTGGAGTCTCCTTGAAAGAGTGCAGAGCGATCCGGCCCCTGGCCCTTGGCAGGTGTGTCTTGCTTATCCTCCGAGCCGCTCAAGGGCCCGGCCCTGCAGATTCAAATGTTGTCGGAGATCTAAACAAGTGCCCTCCGAGAGCGAACAGTTGCAAAGGGTCTGCTGCTGGAGGCGGCGGACAGCTTCGTTGTGCCAACCGATAGAGGCCTGCCCCTCAGAGCGATCCAGCATTTGGGTTTGAAGTTCGAAAGGTCTGTGCTGTGCATGCGTTTGTGGGGTGTTTAGGAGTTTGAATGGATGGGCCGCTGGGACTTGGTGGCTGCGTGTTCCGGTGTCTGTGCTGTCGTCCCTGGTGCGCTCACCTCCTCTGTGTGGACCCTTAAGGGTGCGAGTTTCCGTGCTCGGGTGCCAAGGGCGGCCGCGACCCCTCGTGCTTGTTGGCAGAGCGGCGGCTCCAGGAAGCGTTGGGATTGGGATTCTGCACATGGTGAGGATGGCAGCATATGGCAGCGTTCAGAAAGCCTTTCACACCCCGGGTTGCAAAGCAAGAACCTAAGAAGTCACATGGTCTAATCGAGCACCTCATATCTGGAGTCAGGACTTGGCGCGGAGCTGAAGCAGTTCGTGCCCCCCGACAAGTCCGCCGGACGAGTGCTTTGTCCACCTGAATTTTTCGAAAGCCCTAAGGCTGAGCAGTCTTAGTTTGCCGAAATCAGGCTCAGGGTTTCATCGAGCCAGGCGTATACCTGGCCACTCCGTGCTGGCCTTCTTTCGATCCCTCGGGTACCACTCTAAGCGGTCCAAGCATTGCGGGCAGAAAAACTATGCCACGGCCCAAAGCCTAAAAGCCACAAAGCCACAGAAAACACAAAAAGGAAAAACTCCCAAATTCCCTTCGTGGTTCCCAAAGCAAATTGGGGCCCACGAGGCTGATGCTGACAATGTTCTGCCTCTCATCCCTGGTTGTTCCGACCATCTTGGCAGGACCTGGGGCGAAGTGGCATTGTGACACATGTAGGGCCAATTAGGGCCCTCTGTTTGGGTGTCGTGTTGTCGCTTTGAGGGTTTTTTTGTTTGGGTCTTGGACGGTCTTAGATTTGCTGTCTCAGCTTGCTGTTCTCTCGTGCAGGACTCCCTGTCTGCAGCCTAGTCTGATGTGAATTTTTATTTAACTTATAACTTATGTACTGTACAACACGGGACGAGTTCCATAGCTCCCAGTCTCCGCACTCCACGCTGTTGTGCTATGCTGTGCTAAGGTCGTGAAGCGCAAAGATCCGAAGTCACGCAAGTTCGTGGACCGCGTGATCTGTGCGTGGCATTGACGCATTGTTGTGACATTTCGGTCAGGTCGTTTCAGGCTTTCAGGCCCGTCTCCACTCTGTTGACCAAGGTGGAGCCAGTTGACCACGTGGCCTTTCTTTAGTGTCAAGGCAAAGGATGCAAAGGAGTCTAAGTACCAGAAGACTCAGAAGACTCGCCGCTTGCGAGGTGAAGGGACGCGAAAACTTGCTGCCTGAAGAGCAGGCAGTGGCAACCCTTGCGCGAATTGCAGCAGGCGGAGTGAAACAGCGTTGCTTTGCGCTTCCCTATGTTGCCCTTCCTAATCCTTGAAACATGTCGGCCCTAGACCATCCGAAGCCCTAAGCGCACGCCAGGTTTATGTCGCGAACCATCAGTCTTTCATGGACATCTTGTCTTGCTACCACTTGTGCCAGCCTGAGACGGTGTGTCAATTGGTTAAGCATCTGCATGAAGTGATATGAAGTGTGGCCCCTTTTCTTGGATCTTGTTGCCTCTGCTTCGGCTCATGTGTGGTGGTCGTAGTGCAAAAGCAGCTCTTGTGTCTGCGTCCTTTGCCGCGCCGTGCCTGGCTGTGAGGTGGAGATCTTTCAAGTGGGTTTCAAAGTCATCCATCTTGAAGATCCCCATTGTCGGATGGGTCATGAAGCGAGCTCGTACCATCACGATAGAGCGGGAGGACAGAAGGCCTGGAGCGGTTTCTTGTTATCTCCAGAAGAGCAATGTCGGTCATGCCAATTTATTCGTTTAGGGTTCATACGGTTCATACTCGTAATACTATGACATGATCTTGTACGTTCATTCTGATTTTTGCAGCGTGCGCTTGAAAAAGCCGCGGCTTCTTTCAGGGAGCCCGGTCACATGGTCCCTGAATATGAAATATAAGAGGTGAATGGGGAAGGGAGCCCCAGGAGGACAATTGAGTGGCAACAGACAAAAGCAACGAAGCTTGTATACGGAACGTGCCAGCGGGCCTGACCACTCAAGTTTCTACCTCGCTGCGTAGGTGTGTTGCGCGCGCGCACGCGCGCGTGGGTGTGCGTGTGCGTGTGCGTGTGCGTGTGCGCGTGCGTGTGCGCGTGCGCGTGCGCGTGCGCGTGCGCGTGCGCGTGCGCGTGCGCGTGTGCGTGTGCGTGTGCGTGTGCGTGTGCGTGTGCGTGTGCGTGTGCGTGTGTGCGTGTGTGTGTGTGTGTGCGCGGACCTCTGACGTCTGCATGGGTCTGCTTAGGTATGCTCGGGTGCATGCCTGATTGGAAGCGATGTCTCAGACACATTTGGCACTTGCTCATCACTATTTTCCCAGATTCCCCACTTGTTGTACTTTTCTGGATACAGCGCCCTTCGAACACCGAAGGTTTGCATAGGCTTTTCTTGTCGGCTGCTCAATCTAAAGCCCTGCACTGTGCGCTGGCAGGTCCCAAATGGCGGCATTCCGGAACTGCGTGAGCTACTTGGAGGAGGCTGTACAGAGCTGTTTCCAAAGCTGTTGCATTAGCAAGGACTTGGAATATGTTGCAATGCACTGTGTTCCGTCTCAATACCATGCAGTGGGAACTGCATCGGCTCCTGCATCTCGTCGAATTCTGGTGAACAGTCTGGTGGCAGGGCACGTCCATTTTCATTTTTCCAGAGGCCAGCACAGCAAGTGGGTTGCGGCTTTGCTCCTTGATCCAAGATGCAGAGAAAGCTCCCAAGAAATAAGAAATTCAGGGCCCCATGTCTGCGTCGCAGGGTACAAGAAGTCTGGATGGAGCTCTCCTCGACTTCAAGAAGGGCACCGACCTAAGGTGCCCGAGGCTGCTGGACACTTCGGCACTTAGGCTCCTTCCAAACACGACGTGGTTCTTAGGTTCTTTGTCCTAAGTCCTCCCCAACATGTTTCCCCCCGAATCCTGCAAAGTCAAAGCAGATGAATTGCGTTCCCGCTGCCACTTGTGCTGCGTGTTGGGATGGTCCTCGGCAAATCCCTTAAAATCTGTCTGAGCCCTCAAATTCCCCTGGGTCTGATTTTCTGAGAGCATCTCCAGGGCATTGTTTCAGCGTCTCCTCAGGTCCTGTCTCGATGGCCAAGAGGGCAAAGGTACCTATAGTCCCAGTGACGATCCTGGGAACTGGCCGCTTGATGCCGAGCAAGAAGGACTGAGCTTTGGATCATATTACATGATGACGTTGACCTCCCTTTCGCCCCACTCGAGTGGGCCAGGAGTTTACCCTGTACCACAATCGTGCCGGAGCTTGGATCCTGGAAAGAGTTCTGAAACTGAAAAGTGGTTGTAAACGCTTGCGCGGGCCGCCTGGGCAGCCGGGCTGGCCCGCAACGGTCCCATTTCGGTGTGGTTCAGCAGCTCCGGGGTCAGGGTGGGTTCCAGAACAAAAGGTTTCAGGGAGAAATTGAGATGGTTTCAGTTCAGGGGGGGGGGTTCCCTGGGGCCAGGGATGGTTGTGGGAGGCGGTTGCACATAGAGGGCAGGGAGGGGGCCTCGTGAACTGAAAAGTTTGGGTGGGCGGTCTGCTTGTTCTAGACGCTTCTCGGCTGGATGCCGAAGCGAATTTCGAATGATTCTCTGATGTTTGAGTTGCCGTGTGATTCAGCAAGTTTGGGCATTGAGCGCGACGAGCTGCAGGTTGAGATAATCATTCATCCCGCAGTCCCCGCCCAGGAGCAGCGTCAGTAAGAGTGAGCACTTGTATGCAGTTGACTTGCATGCTTTTGGCGCTTGCCAAAGATCAATGCGTTACACTCAGGACATTGCAATCGACTACTCGTCTGCATGTCAGGAAGTACAAGACGGGCCGGACCGGGACGTTCTACTGAAGCTGCGGCAAACCATTGAGCCACGTGCTCGGAACATCTCAAACTGAAAAAAGGATGCTCTTTTGTTGGCTGTGGAGGATCCCTCAATGAAACGGCACCCGTTCTGTCCAAGTGCCTTTACATGTCCCTGGCATGTCCAGCCCTGGTGTCTTCTCAGGTCAGCTCTTCCTCTGGAGCTGCAAAAAGGGACAATTGCGAGTTGAGCCTTGAACGCTTTCGGATTCAAGGCCGAGTGCTGTTGCCTGGGCTGCTTTGTTCCCCTTGCAGATCAATGTGTACAGTCCTCTCAATCCAACTTTACACCCCAGTTTCAGTGATGCATAATGATGCTGCTACATCTTCGTCGTACTGCTTCACTGCTTTGCCAGGGCATCAGCTGGATTCGGCGCATTCTCGATTGTCTACCCCACGTCTAGCGATCCGCGAGCGCAAGAATTCAGAGCATCTTATCGCATTTTTCCTTTTCTGGCTGTGCTGCTCAGCCGATGTCAATGCTGCTTAACGCTGGAATAAAATCGACTGCGCATCCCAGACATGGTGCACCATGCTGCAATCTGCATCCAAGCCACAGGACTGCTGTGTGCCGCCCTTTTCTTGACGAACTCGCGCACTCGCAGCCGCAAGCCTCTCAAAGCACATATGAGTTGTGCAAAATATATGCACTGATCCACACATCCTCTGCCAGCCACGGCCACCCACAGCCCAAAGCAGCTCTCTGCACCCTCGATGTAGGCTGACAAATGGTGTTCAGCTTCAGCACCTCAGGTAGAGTACTGCACTTTACTCTCCCTTCCCGGCCATTGTGCCTTGTCAGCCATGACAGATACCGCCGGGGTCCCAGCTTCTGCATGGCCTCACCGTCATGCCATGGTCCCAAGTGGCCAAGGCTGTGTGGTTGGAAGCCTTAGCCTTCGGCTTCGTAGGTTGTTGGACCCTAATCCCTAAACCCCCTCAACCCTAACCCGAGCCCCTGGTCTCTCGAAGAACAACCCGAATCTTAAACATGGCAGGGTGATTATGTGCCGAGGACACGGAAGAAGATGAGACCGAGGAGCCTGAGTTTGTGCCGTTGCCTCCTCCGCCTAAAGCTCTGACCTGAGACCTGAGCAGCCCTAAAGAGGGGGTGAGTGGGGAGCTTTGTTGCGGGTTGATCCTTTGAGCCTCGCCTTTGCTCCTATCACTCCCACCCCAGATGCCAGCCACCCCTGTTCTCTGCGCCGGGTGTGCCGAAGCTTGTCTTTTTTGTGTGAGCAGAACGGCAATGTGTTGACTCGTTCATGAAGTGCTGGAGAAAGAGGCCTTGCTGGAGGGGCTTGGCACTTCTCGCTCATTCCGCGTGCTGCATGCTCTGTGACGGGTGTCTGACATAATCCTACTAGCTGCCCAGTTGCTGGTCCTTGCTGGCTCTTGCACATGCCTTGTGTTAGAGACCACCACATCGCACTGGTCTTTGCATTGTTGAGGTTCGAACTCAGAGGCAGAGTGTGTCTGCGGAAGCTTTCGGGGAATGGTCGGCTCCTTATCGTGTCCGCATTTCTGCAGATCAGGTGGCCTTACTTTCTCTAGCCCGAAGCCCAAACCCCATGCGATCGGATGCTTGAGAGGTGACATGCAGATCTAAGGAACCAGCGGGTTGTGTTTGAGCCCACGGTCTACCCGAAAACGTGCACCCCTGAGCGTTGCTGCAGTCACTGCATGCACTGGCAGATCGAGGGCCCCTAGGGCTTAGGAATGTTTGAGGTGTGGAGTTTAGGAGGACTTCACTCATCAGGGGTATCGTGTGGGAGTATTCTGGAGCCATCGGCTTTCCCAGCAAAATTGCAAGTTCTGAACAAAAAGATGTACAAGTGCAGTGTTGCGTCTGCAAGCACATCTCCCCTGCTCAGGCCAGACCAGACACAAGAGCTTGTTGAGGCACGGCCAGAGTCGCGAAAGCCTTCTTCAGAAAAGCTTGTTCCTCGAAAATCTTAAACACAGGTCCCGGCACTTTCCTGAAAGTCGGGTTCCTCTGACTTGAAGGGCTTTGTATGACCACAGGTGTTCGTGGCTCTGTTACAAGCGTGTACTTGCCGGCATCATCACAGGGAGCTAGCTACAACAGATCTCACAGTTTGTTTAGTTTTCTTGCACCTGAACATGCATAGACTCGTGAGATGAATTGAAAGGTGACAGCGCAGTCTTTTCTCTTTACATCTCTGGAAGAGAAAGACCTTCGCGCGGGAAACTCAGCTTGCAGGGTGCACTTTGAAGCAGCGCCCACACCTCAGCAGCGGAAGCAATTACATGCTAGAAGCAGGGTGCGAGAGCATGAGTGGGAGAGAGAGACAGAGAGGACTACTAACCCAGGAACCCGAACCGGGTTGGCCATCTGGGCCGGGTGCCTCCTGCCCTAAAGCACGCAGAAGAAGAAGAAGAAGAAGAAGAAGAAGAAGAAGAAGAAGAAGAAGAAGAAGAAGAAGAAGAAGAAGAAGAAGAAGAAGAAGACGAGGAGAAGGAGAGAAAGAGAGAAAGAGAGAGGGAACGCACGCGCGGGACCATCTTCGCTATGGAGGAGGAGAATGTGCGCAACCTCACCTGAATAAAGGGAGTATTGGACCAGACCTGGACATGTCCGCTTGGCTGTCGCGGCCAAGGTTCCTACGGGGCTTGTCAAGCGTGCAGAAGAAGAAGAGGAGCAGAAGAAGGAGCAGGTAGATTAGAAGAAGGATTAGAAGAAGGAGAGGAAGGAGTAAAAGAGAGAGAGAAGGAGAGAGCTGATTGGCAGCGCAGTAGAGAGGTCCTTGGGGCAAAACCGAGCAGGCAGCACAGATGAGGAAGGAGCAGCAAGGATGGGGTTAGCCTAGCTGGGGGAGCGGGGGGAAAGTATGAATCCGAGCTCCTTCTCCCCGACTGCCCCAGTCAGAGGAGCCCCGAATACCGGGGCGGGCGAGGACACTCCGGCAGCTTGCCCCCTTTGCCCCCAAGAAAGAAAGAGCTAGTCAAGGTGCTGTGCGGATCACGGCTGCCATGCTCTCTTGACAGGTTGTCATCGCGGCCATGAAGGGGCCGCTAATCTTAGAGCCAGGCGGGGTGCACCAGGATCCTGGAGAGCAGGAGTGGAGAGATGAACGAGGGAGCAAATCGAGCGTTCGTGGCAACCTTGCAGGTCATAGAATCATCCAAGAGGGTGACACCGGGGATCACCTGTACGTTGTCACGGACCGTCATGAAAGCGCCAGGGCCGCTAGGGCTCTCCATTGAAAGGTTTCTGATGCAGGAAGCCGTTGATCTCGAAGATGCTGTCGTGACAATGTCAAGCATGTGGTTTGTTCAGTGTCTTTCTGACATGTTGGAACGGCTGGCTTTTGGTACCAAGCCTGACCTTTTGAAGTGGAGAGGACGGGGCCATGGACTGCATCAAAGTCATCGATGGTGTGGAGATGGTCGCCTGCCAGGGATTTTTGTTCGACGATCGCAACTTTGCTCCTAGGAGTTTTCGGGTCCAAGTCTGCACGAGAGTCATCGCGCATGGTGAAATGCCTTGTGTGTGGACCCTGCCTGCAGAGTAGGCGGAAACACGCCAGTCACGAAAGCTAGCTCTGTGGAGCTGGCGGGAGTTGTCGTTTACCCATGCACTGGTATTCACCTTGTTAAGAAGCTTCCAGGGAAAAAAGGGTTCCACACCCAAGACTTAAGGTGGGGGTGGGGGGGGGGGGGGCCCCCCCCCCCCCCCTCACCTCACCATGAAGCATTTTCGAAGGATAAGGTGCCGGCGCCCCCCCCCCCCCCCCCTCCTTTAAGGTGGTTGCGTGTGGGATAAGGTAGGGGGGGGGGGGCCCCCCCCCTACCACCTTCAGGTCCCCCCCCCCCACAAGGTCCCCCCCCACCCCACCCCAAGGTCCTCCCCCGCCCCCCACAGTCACCATGCTCTGAAGGTCTGTGGTACTTTGCAGAGGTCGTACTGAACAGAGCGTCCCTGTACCTAAACTTCGTTTGCGACACGGGGTTCCAGCGGGGGAAGCAAGGGGGCTGAAGGAGTTTAGGGCTTCAGATTTCGAGTGTAGGGGTCTTCGATCTTACCTGACTAACCGGTTGAGTCTCTACATGGACTCAATCGTGCTTGTTAACAGCTGCTCAAACATGCATTCGAGACTGAAGCTGCAGCTTGGAGCAGCGATACCCATCTCCCCTGCGGTGACTAGCTTTCGTAGCCCCTTCTCAAGTTACTGATAAGATCTGATAAGCATGTGCAGAGGCACTGCTGTAACCTCTCCAGATCTCTCCAGCCCACACCTGTTTCACACCTCTGACTTGCAACTCCATCTCTTGAGCCGAGGTTGTCAAAACGTGCGTCAAGGGCGACCTGTTTGGTGAGCTTGTGCCTGGACGGGTTTATGCCTCCAAGGCTCCACGAATCCCCCGCACTCTTAGCATTTTGTGCCAATGGAGCTGGGGTGATTTCTCTGCGAGGATCCCATTTGGGCATTGGTAGCATGTTCCCCAAACCCCAAACCCCAGACCCCAGACCCCAAACCCCAAACCCCAAACCCCGAACCCCGAACCCCGAACCCCGAACCCCGAACCCCGAACCCCGAACCCCGAACCCCGAACCCCGAACCCCCAAACCCCCAAACCCCCAAACCCCCAAACCCCCAAACCCCCAAACCCCCAAACCCCCAAACCCCCAAACCCCAAACCCTAAACCCTATACCCTGAACCCTATACCCTAAACCTTCTAGCAAAGGGGTGCGAAAATGAGTTTAAAAACGCTTCCCCGAGGCGCTTTTGTATAACTGCCCCAGAGCGGCGAGCGTCCAAAGCCGCGAGGCTTGTGGAAGTGTGGGCGCATTCTTGACGCAGAGTCCATTGAAGCCTTTGTGGGGCCTGCAGAGGGGGAGTGGCACTTCTTGAGGAAGGAAAGAGACGCAGGAATGGTTTGAGAGTGTGTTGTAGTGTGCTGTGTGCCAATTGCCAGCCTTCGGTGCTCTGGGAGCTGGACCGTGCAACGTTCAACAACATTGTCATGGAAGGACAGCTGGAAGCTTTTTACACAGCCGGGTAGACCGGTCCTTGCTTGTGAGAAACGCTCTTGTGAGGACAGCTTTGAGGGCTCAGGGATGAGATGGACACGCTTCTGTTGAATGGCTGATCGTCTCAAACATGCTTGGCGTCAGGAGTCCAGCGGAAACGAAATCAGCCCGGGCTTCAGTTGTCCTGTTTTGCACTTTGAGCAGTCGGAGTCGCTCGGCCGAAGATAGACGCTGCATTGGAGGTGCCTTTCAGTTCTCTCGTCCGTGCCGTTGTTTTCCAGCATCACGCGCGGGGAGGCCATCCCACTTGACACCCTTTTGTCTGTCCTCATCCTTTTCTCTGATGTCTTGTGTCTTCTTTGCAGATGCAATAAAGACCCTGCCTTTCTTTACGCGGGCCGCGGTATTGCGCGCACTCCCATGATCAAGCTGCACAATCGCATTCGCCTTGCGCCAGTTGGAGAACATCATCGACGCCTTAAAGATGGAGAGGCGGCCAAGGGGCCGGGGGCCCTTTCAAACCCTGGGAGCTGCAGGATCGGCTTCGAAACCAGCCTGCAGTGAGCTCAGGTGACATCATCATCAATCAAGGCAGGACCTGAGAGGTTCTGCTGCTGCCTTCACGCTGCCTCGCAGTTCTCCTTTTTTTTGGGTTGTGAGCCACGCTGCTTGTGCGTCACCTTCCCCAAGCTCATACTAACACGCCTGGCTCACGAACTTCATGCCAGTCTCAAAGGCCCGTTCGCTCAACCCCTCTAGCCGACTCTAGCCCAAAAGCACCTAGACCTACACCCCACCTTGACGTAAGAACCAGAGAGCGTCAAGAGGGCAACGACTCACACACATCTACAGGCGAAGTCGGCGATCATTTCTACATTGTCTACGAGGGTCAGGTTGGATGCCTGCGTTCTGGGAAGTGCTGGAGTGAGTCCCTTTTGCTGAAGGCTTTTGGAATGATGTCATGCTGGGCCTTTCTGGGTCGAGGGTTCCATGAAACCACTGGATGAGGAGCTCAGTGTAATGAAGAAGTCGAATCTACGTCCATGAAAGAGGGTCCCCCAAGATAGACTTCAACTTGAGCGCGTCGAGGGGGCAGTTGGTCAGAGCTAAGTTCGTTTTCATTGGTGTACCGCGCCACAATGCGACCAGTTACGTTGCTTTGAGGGACGCTCTTTTAGAGAGCCGAACCACGTGGCAAAAAGCCAGGCTAACACTACAAACCCTAAACCCTAAACCCTAAACCCTAAACCCTAAACCCTAAACCCTAAACCCTAAACCCTAAACCCTAAACCCTAAACCCTAAACCCTAAACCCTAAACCCTAAACCCTAAATATGTCTTGCGAAGGTCATGGCCTCCAAAATCACGGAGGAGTCTGCAGAGCCCGTGATGATGATCCACGAGGCCTCGCCCCGTCATGCCAGGAGCTCTTGGACTCCAAAGGGTTTAGGGTTTAGGGTTTAGGGTTTAGGGTTTAGGGTTTAAGGTGGTGCCTTGCTCCTGTCAGAAATTCCGATCAGCATCCTTGCATATCACTTGGGTGGGTTTTCGTTTTTGGCTTGATCAGGGTAGCGAAGAAGGACCGGTGTTGCTTGGCACACAGGGCCTCACCCATACCACATGTCAGGCCGGCGACTACTTTGGCGAGCTCGCGCTCATCCTCGAGGATTTTCGGCTTTGCCGACAGCCCTCAATCTCCTAAAGGTGTCGGTGTTCCCATCAAAGCCTAAGCCTCGGCTGTTTCGGAGAGATGACGGAGAGAGAGAAACGAGAGATGACGGAAATGTGATAGAGGAGATGCGAGAGAGATGAAAGAGAGACGAGAGAGATGAGATGCGAGAGAAAGCGAGAGAGAGGGAGAGAGAGAGAGAGAGAGAAATCAATCCGTCGTTTCCCCGACTTTTAGACCAATGTGTCACACCGACTGGACTTGGACGCAACCTGGGCGCGCCCAGTGAGCGGGGGGGTTCTCCCCCTCATGCCTCTTAGAAGAAGAAGAGAAATAGAAAGAGAGTGAGACAGAAAAAGAGGATGAGGAAGAGGAAGAGGAAGGGGAAGAGGAAGAGGAAGAGGAAGAGGCAGAGGCAGAGGCAGAGGAAGAGGAAGAGAAAGAGAAAGAAACAGAGAAGAAGACAGCGAAAGCGAATGCGAAAGAGAAAGAGAAAGATAAAAAGAAAGAGAATGAGAATGAGAAAGAGAAAGAAAAAAGAGAAAACAAATTGTGAACTACATCAGCATGGAAAGAAGGAGAGAGAGCGAGAGAGCGAGAGAGTGAATGATTGCCGGAGAGATGAGAGAGAGATGAGAGCGAGATGAGAGAGATATGAGAGAAAATGAGAGAGAGGAGGGAGAGAGGGAGGGAGGGAGGGAGAGAGAGAGAGAAAGGTGAACGAGAGTGAGAGAGATGACAGAGATCAATGAAAGAAAGGGAGAGAGAGGTGAGAGAGATATTGAGGGCGAAAGTCAAAGAGAGAATGAGACAGAGAAAGAGAGAGTGAGAGAGAGAGAGAGAGAGAGAGAGAGAGAGAAGAGAGAGAGAGAGAGAGAGAGAGCAGAGAGGAGAGAGAAAGAGGTCAGAAGATATGAGGGAGAGACGAGATGAGAGAGAGAGAGAGAGCCCCATGCCCCAAAGAAAGAAAGAAAGATGAGAGATTGACAGATCATAGACAAAAAGGGAGATAGGAGACGGATATTACATGTCAGTTCGATCTCGTGTCATGCGCCGCGTTTTTTTTGGTTGCCGTGTACGGAAAAGGAGCCTCGAGCTGCCACGGTGGTGGCCAGCAGTGACCCGGAGGCCAGAGATGGTGTTGAGGGTTTGGGGTCTGTAGCGGCGTCTTGGATTTGAGGCTTCGGGTTCAGGAGCTTCGGACTTACTTTTAACCCCAGGGTGGGCCCTTCGCTTAGGCTGAAGGATCTGGAAATGTAGAGGTGCCTGGCTAGACACAAGGAGGTGTTGCCGCACGTTGTCTGTTTTTCTGTTGTTTGGCATGACTGTCCGATGTTATTTGCAACTTGGCGTTCTCATGAGCGGGAGCTGCAGCACAACCTCCTTCGGTTTGCTGCAGCTTTCCGATTAAACATATATACCAGGGTGCGGTGGGGTTTGCGAACGTGGGAGCAGCTCGTCTGAGGTTTGATCGAAGCCTTAGGCGTGTGATGTTCCCCATTTGCGACACTGACATGGGTCCATTAAGCAAGTGAGCAGACCGATTTTCCAAACAGCGAAGGATTCAACGTTTAGGGCTTAGGGTTCAGGGACTGAAAGAGCGGTCTGCCTGAAAAGGTTGTCAGGCAGCAAAGTCTGAAGTCATTGTGAGCACGACGGTTGAGAGATGGCTGGACAGAAGCGAAGCTTTGGCCACACATGTTGTAAAGGTGTGCTTGTTGTCGATGGACCGTGCCACCTTCAAGAGAATCACCGGAGAACACAGTACGGGCCCGAGAAGGCTTCCGAGAGTGTCTGGGACGGGCCTCAGTTGTGATCCCTAAGCAGCTTGCCCTGGAGAGCACTAGAATTCAAGCTGTTGGGTCATCGGGACTTAAGGCTTGAAGCCTGAAGATCTGTCGGCAGTCAAGAGGTTGGAGGTTGAGGGGTTGCGGTCTGCCTTGAAAATCCCAAAGCAGCGATGACCAAGGCACACTGCATGGCTTCCTGGAAAGCAATGTTGATCGCTATGCATGAGCAACCTGTGTGTCGCACTAGATGCAGAAAGCAAAATCATCGCTTCGCATTTGTTTTGCCAAGAGTAGTGAAGTGTTGTTTTTCAAAGTTCTTCTATGGCTTGATGATATCGGCATCTGTTTGGGCTCCGTGCGGTTGGGATATTGGTGCAGGGATAAGGAAGCACTTGGTTCTGAATGAAGGTTTGATCCCTTTCGATTTGTATTGCTCCGGAGGGTGGAATATTGATGAAGGGCTCAGGAAGCACTCGTTTCCGATTGAAGGTTTGACCCCTTTCGTGCTGTATTACTAGGAATTTTCGGAATCACCCGAATTGAGATTTAGGCTTTCCGGGTTGGATTTAAGATTCCAACACAACAATGATGACGTGGGTGCCCTTTGAAAATTCCGGAAATTTTCGGGACCCCGGGTTCAGGGTTTAAGGATTTTACGGTTTAGGGTTTTGGGGTTTAATAGAAATTGTATACGGTTTGTGTCCGGAGTTTTGTCGAGTTTTGGGGGGTTTTGTTTTTGTTGTAATGATTTGGGTTTTGTCGGGCGTGGTGGGGGGCGGATGGTTTTGGGGTGCTGAGGGGCTGGGGCTGAGGGGCTGCGGCTGAGGGGCTGGGTTTAGTTTTTTGTTGTAATGGTTTGGGTTTTGTCGGGTGCGGCCGGGGGTGGGTGGTTTTGGGGGGCTGGGGTTGGGGGGTCTGTGGTTGAGGGGCTATTTGAAGGGCTCTTCCGCACCCACCTTTGGTCCTTCTCCTGTGGGGGGGGGCTAGGCAGGGGGGTGGGGGGGGGGGGGGGGAGGGGGGGGGTACGGGGTGAGGGTAGGGGGGGGCCAACACAAAACGCGTGGTCGCCTTGCAAAACAACAAATTCGGTTGCTTTTGGTCCTTCTCCTGTGGGGGGGGGGGGTAGAACGCGTGGTTCCACCCACTTGGTCGGTTGCTTCTGTGGCGGGGGCTGGGGGGTACGGGGTGAGGGTAGGGGGGAGGGGGGGGGGGTAGTAGGGTGCAGCCAACACAAAATGCGTGGTTTTGACCGCCTTCCAAAACAACAAATTCGGTTGTTTTTGGTCCTTCTCCTATGGGGGGGGCTAGGCAGGGGGGTAGGGGGGGGGGGG